ATTCCATCATGTTCCTGAGCTCCTCTCTAGATTTATTAATCATGTCTTGCACTAGGGACACAATTTCTCCTGTTATCTGAGATATTATTTCTGATGTCATTTTTTCCAGATCCCCTTTTGTTGCCAGTTCATTGGGTCCAGGTGGTTGAGTATCAGAGTATTCCATCTTATTTCCCTTTGGGGTTGATGTAGGTGATCTGGAAGTCTGGTTTTGAGACTTATTTATGTGTTTTCTCATTTCGACTGGGGCGGGGGGCTGTTAGCCCCTGCACTGATTACCTCCTCTGAGCTGGGAGAGGTGGAACAGGGGCCGGGAGCAGCGGTAGGGATGGTTACTCAAAAGCCCTTTCCTGTGGGCTGGGAGCAGCAGGAGGGATGGTGGCCAGGAAGTCCCTTCCTCTGGTTCAGGAGCAGTAGGATGGCAGCTCAGAAGGCCCTACCTCTGGGCCGGAAGCAGTGGGAGGGATGGTGGCCGGGAAGCCCCTACCTCTGGGCTGGGAGCAGCAGGACTCAGTACTGTGGTCTGGTGGTCCGGTGTCCTCTGTGTCTTTGTAGTGTGGAACCAGGTTCTGTACAGAGGAGTGGGGGTGGGGGTCCATTGGATTGTTGCCGGGGCGCAGACTGATTCTGCATGTTCTGTGTGAGTGGGGACCTCAGTAAGGTGTGCACAGACCTGCCTGTCTGCAGTGGGCTGATTGGGCATCTTCCGCCTGACTCAGGACCTCAGTAGGGCGTAGTGAGTTCTTTTAGATAATAACTTTGCTAAACTCTTTTATTCCTTATAATAATTTATCTGTATAGTCTTTTGTATTTTCTATGTAGATTATCATGATCATTTACAAATATGGATCATATCTTCATTTACAACCTTAATGCCTTTTATATGCTTTTCTTGCCTTAGTATTCCAACCTGCAATTCTGTTGCAATAGAATTGATAATAATGGATATTGCTATCTGACCCCAATGAAACAGAAAGTTGGTTGTCATTTTTTCTTCATTAAGTATAATATTTACTATAAATTTTAAGTGCCATAACAGACATAAGAAAGTTCCGTCCATTCTTATTTAGGTGACATTGCTTTATAATGTATTATTGTGGGTGGGTATATCACTTTATCAAGTATATTTTTAAATATCTATCAAGAAAATAATGTGGTGTACATTCTGTACAAATTTGATGTAGTAAATTATATCAGTTGGCTTTTCTAATGTTGATCTCTTTTATTCCTAAAACAGATCTAACTTGGTCATGATGTATTGCCCTTTAAAAAATATTGGTGGAGGGGCCAGGGATTTAGCTCAGTGGTTCCGCTGCCTGCCTCGCAAACACAAGGACCCGAGTTAGATCCCTGGTACAAAAAAAAACAACAACAACAAACAAGAAGTGCAAGAGAAATTTTGGGCCAGGGATTTAGCTTAGTGGTTTCGCTGCCTGCTGCGCAAGCACAAGGACCCGAGTTCAATCCCCAGTACCAAAAAAACAAAAGAAAAAGAAAAATTATTGGTGGATGGGCCAGGGATTTAGCTCAGTGGTGTCTACACCTGCCTTACAAGCACAAAGTCCTGAGTTCAATCCCAGGTACCAAAAATAAATAAAATAAAAATAAATTTAAAATATTAGTGGACTTGATTTTTGTAGAGATTTTTACATTTAATTCGTTCATTCCCTTAGGTCTTTATTGAGCACCTACAATATGGCCGGTACCACTCCATGTGAACAAAAAAACCAGTCATTGACTTACATTTAAATCCTAGCAGAGAAAGAAAAACAGAGAAGAATAATTAAAAATAATTCATGAGGGCCGGAAATTTAGCTCCGTGGTGCTGCCACCTGCCTTGCAAGCGCAAGGTCCTGGGTTGGATCCCCAGTATCAAATAAAAAATTCACGAGTCTCATTCAGTCTGTTAGAAGGTTAACAGTACTATAGAGTAGAGAAAACTGAAGCAGGAATGAGAGATAGGGAGATCTAGAGATGTTAGGAAGGTACTGTAGAATAGGATAATAAGAGCAAGTCTTGAAGAAAAGCTAACAGCTAATAAAATCCTTGAAAGTTTTAAAGGCATTAATGATGTGGATATCCATGAATAGTGTTCCAGAAACAGAGAAGAGCAAAAATAAGTGCAAAGAAGCCAGTGTGGCTAGAGTGGAGTGAGTGATGGCCAGACCAATAGGTGAGGTGCTCAGAGCAGTAAAAGGGCAAGAACACACAGAGTCCTGAAGATCACTTAAGGATTTGGGATTATCTGAGTGAACTGATAGACATGTTGTGTGGTGGAGGGGTAAAGAAAAAAGTTAAATATTTTTCACACATGTTGCTAGAAGAATGGTTAATGCATTTTGGGGAGATGAAATTCCAAGAACATTTTGGTACATGTCAAGTTTGAGATTTCTATTAGAAAGCCAGATAGAGTTCTCACCTAGACAAAAGATCTTAAAATTGGGAAATAAATGCAGACTGAAGATAGAAATTTGGAAGTCGTTAGCATATTGGTGGTCTTTAAGTTAACAGTCTGGATGAGATTGCCAAGGAAATACATACACATAGGGGAGGGGAATCCAGAATTCACCCCAATGAACTCCAACATTGAGTTTGGGAAAAAAAAGAATCAGCGAAGGAGACTGTGAGGAAGATGAAGAATTGGTCAGCTCTAAATTTACTGTCACTTTCCCAAATGTTCATAGGCTAAGTAAGATGGGGACAGAAGTTGATCATTAGAATTAATGAGGTCATTGATGCCTATATCAAGAGCTGTTTTGGTGGAATGGTACGACAGAATGGAAAGAGAGGACATGGTGAGAGAATGTAGGTAACATTTGAGTCCTGTTGCTATAAATAAATACAAAAGTGGGTTGCTGGAGGTCAAAGTGGAGCCAAGAGGGAGCTTTTATGGTAGAGAAGTAAGCTTATGTTTTTATGCTATGGAAATAACCTGTTAACAAATGAAAAACTGAATATGTAACAAGGACAAGGGAGAATTGCTAAGCCAATGTCTTTAAGCAGAGAGAGATGGGATCTAGTGTATACATGGGTGGCAGGTTGTGCATAGATAGGAGCATGGATACCTTCACTCTATCAACAAGCAGGAAGAACATGGGCACAGATGAGGGTGCTTGTACAGGAACGTGCTGGATAGTAGAGGGCTGTGCAAGTTCTCATTGTTTCAAGTTTATTAGCAAAATAAAAATGAGGTCATCAAGTTAGAGTCTAGAGATTCAAAAATTGTGGAACAAAATCGTTCATATAATCCTCCTTTTATTTGCATAGTAATTGCAGCATTTGTAGTGGAAACTCTTTCACTCTTGTTAGTTCTGCCTTTTTTTCTTATCAATCTCATTCCCCATTTGTCAATATTTTCTTTTCAAATAACCATATTTTGCCATTATCCCTTCTTTTTATTGTTTTTTTCAGTTGTTGTTTATTTATTTTTGTACTTTTTTTTCCTTCTTTTATTTCCGAGGTGAGGGAGTTATTTTGTTCCTTTTCTCCTAACTTCTTGTGACAGATGCTTAGTTCATTGACTTTCAACCTCTCTTTTTATTTAAAATATTTAAGTTTTCGTAGTTTCCTTTATGAGATGCATTAGTTGCCTTCTTCAAACAGCTAAGTATTTATTAGTGTGAGCTCAAATATTGTCTGCTGTACAGTAGTTCCTTTTTTGTCTGTATGTTTTCTTGAGGAATTTTTTTAAATTTCTAAAACTATGGGTTTTAAGCCTATTCATTCATTTGTGTGACTGGTTATTTATTTATTTTTGCAGACTGGTGATTTAACCAAGGATCTTCACACTGAGCTACATCTCCAGCCCTTTTCGAATTTTAATTTTTTAGACAGAGTGTCTCTAAGCCACTATGTTTCCCAGGCTGGGTTGAAACTTATGATCCTTCCAAATGAGCCTCCTAGAGTTCTGGAATCATAAGCATGCACCACCACTTCTATATTTACTTTTATTACTTATTTTTAGCTTTGTTACATTGTAATTGAGTCACACATTATAAAATTTCAGTTCTTCAAATTTCCTTAAGACTTACCATATGACCTTGTATTTGATCTCTTACTGTAAACATTATGTGTGTGCTAGGGAATTATGTGCTAGTGGATACAGTTTTCTATGTTCATTGGATCAGGTATGTTAATTATGCTATTAAAATCTTTCATAGCTTATCATATCGTCACATGCTAAATTTATCAGTTACTGAGACCTATAAGTTAAAACCCTGCTGTGACTATCAATTTGCCTCATATTTTCCTTATGTTTCAGTCAATGTGTGTTTTCTGTATTTTGAGATTAGGTGATTAAGTTACACTGCCTAAAGTGTATTGTCTTTAAATTTGAACATCTAGTTCATCTACATGGAAAGTGATTAGTAATATATCGTACTTACATTAACCATATCATTTTGTGCTTTGCATTTGTTCATCCCATGCTAAATTTTTTTCTATCCTTGCATACTTATCACTTAGCAAAACAGAAAGTCAAAATCAGTAGATAGCTTCTTCCTGGACAATACAAAAACCCAGAGACTTACAACACTATAGCTCCATTCACCCCATTTCTAATTTATATATTATTACAAGCATCTATTAAATCTATCTTATTTTTAACCCCTCAAGATATTACCTTACACTTTCATGTGCTCTTTGTTTCATCTTGCACCTCGGATTTTCCATGTACTTGAAGTTCATCCCCTTAGCAATCACTTGCTTAAGGAAAATTTTCTCAGTTTTACTCTGAAGTGTGTTTTCTGAATGATTGTATATTTATGCTGCCTTCATTCTTGATAGATATTTTCATCATGGCTTTTTTTTTGTATTTGTCCTAAAGCACTAAGGATATCTTTTTACTGCCCTCTGGCTTCCCCTGTTACTAACGAGAAGGCTCCTGTCAGTAACACTGGTCTTTTCAGGGTTTAGGTAGGTGGTAGAATTAATGGTCCCCAATGAACCACAGCTCCTGGTATTCACCAGATGGAGAAAGAGGCCCCACTGTCCCAACTCACTTGAACAGTCAAAGAGGGAAGTCCAGGGAAAACTAGTAGAATAACCTTTCAGCCAACCTATAGAATCAAAAACAATAATATTAAAAT